AGCCCACTGGGGTGACTTCGCCAGGCCTGCTGGTTCACACCTGCAATATCAAGCAAGCTAAGAGGCAGAGGCAGGAGGAGCCAGATAAACTTCAGACCAACCTGGTCTACACAGCAAGTTAAAGTTCCAGGCCAGCAGAATCCTGCCTCAAAACAAGTCAGTTTTATGAAGCGATTTTTCTCATTCTTAACAATACTACCATCCCAATATTTTATACCAAAACCAATCAACTCCACACTTGTCACTCACAATCTCATCATCCCTATAGAAAACAAACTCTCCACAACAGCTTTGTAAGTCTGTGCACATCCTGAATCGCAGTCTGAAATTTCAGTCACTTCAGTGTAGATCCAAGCATCTTCCTGGGTACCACAACTTTCCTCTGATGGTCTCAGGTACTGAATTGCCCATCAGAGCAATTTATGACATGAGCAATAGTCTCCTGCTTTTTTCTTTTACACTACTAAGCATCTGCCCCAAACATACTTGCTTAAACCCTGCCTGGGGCTTGGAGGGAAGGCTCAGAGGTTGAAAGCATTTCTCTTTCCTTCTCAGCATGCACACTCAGTGACTCTGACTCACAACTGCCTCTAAAACCAGTCCTTTGGCCTCTATGGGCACCTGCACATGCTTGTGTACATACCAACACAGACACACAAGTGCTGGGGTTAACGGTATGTGCCACCACTGATCGGATTAAAAAGTTTGTTTGGTTTTTTAATTACTGTTTTTAGAGAACATTTTTCTAATACCTACTTAAACTGCCAGCAATGATGTTGGTATCCGTAGAACTTCCTCTTTAACAAAGGTCATCAGTGACTATGTCTTACATAAGTAAACTCAGTATCTAGAGGCCAAACTGAAGGCTGGGTATAGCTCAGTGGTTAGAGCAGTTGCCTAGCATTCATTATGTCCTGGGTTTAATACGAAGCACCAAAAAAGCTAAATGAAATATCTTGTATGTTAGTGTAACTTCTATCAGTGGAATTTTTTTCATACATTCGACTGGGCTATGAATAAAGAATTCTTTATTCATAGCCAGGCACGATGACACATACCTTTAATTTCAGCACCAAGGAGGCAGAGACAGGCAGATTTCTTTGAATTCCAGGCCAGCCTGGACTACATAGGGAGTTTCAGAACAGCCAAGGCTACATAGTAAAACCCTGTCTCAAAGAAATAAAAAAAAAAAGATTGTGTAGGAGATTAGTGGCCTATAATCCATGTGGAAGGCTGGGACAGGACAATCACCAAGTTACAGGTCAGCCGGGCTAAGGGAATCCTTGTTCTGTATCAAAATTTAAAGAAAACCTAAGGTACACTCAAAGGAATTTACCTAAGTAATTTAAGGTACAATTCATTGTTAAGTGGATTTTAAACTTCTCTAAAGTATTCTCTTGTCTATGTGTTCAGGTGAAGTTCTCAGCAAAAATCCTGGGGTTTTTTTTGTTTTTGTTTTTGAGGTGGAGACAGAGATGCTCAGGGCTGGAGAGCTGGCTCAGCAGCGGCTAAGAGTACTGTCTGCTCTTCCAGAGGTCCTTAGTTCAATTCCCAGCACCCACATAGTGGCTCACAACCACCTACACAGGGATCTGGTGCCCTCTTCTGGTGTGCAGGTGTACATGCTGATAGAGCGCTCATCCACATAAAACAAATAAATCTTTTTTTAAAAAAGAGACAGAGACTATTTAGACCAGGCTGGTCTCTAACTCAGAGATCAATCTGCTTCTGACTCCCAAGTGTGGGGATTAATTGTGTGTGCCACCACTCAGCAACACATTATTTTAGAGGACCTTAATTCAGGAGTTAGCACTGGACTGATTTGGTGAGTGTGGCTGTAGTTTTTTCCCCTCCCTTGGCCATTCTTAGTTAGGTTCATGCTATGTGGTTTAAGTGTTGAAACCTCCCAGAACCATGTGTCTCCCAGAACCATGAAACAGCGGTTATTTTTTGGCTCACTGGCCACCCATACCATGGGTGAACTGAGTATGTTCTTATCTCTGAGAAAAGGTCTTATGCACACCAGGCTGCCCTTGGTTTTGCTATTCAGTTTGGGAATGGGGCGGGTAGTGACACATGCCTTTAATCGAAGAACTTGGGAAGCAGAGGGAGGCAGATCTCTCGTGAGTTCCAGGCCATGCAGCCCTGTCTACATAGACAGTTCCTAGGTAGGACAGCCAGAGTTTTATGAGATCCTGTCTCATAAGAAAACAACAGCCAGGCAGCATACGCCTTTAATCCCAACACTAGGGAAGCAGAGGCAGACAAATCTGAGTTTGAGGCCAGCCTGGTCTAGAGAACAAGTTCCAGGATGGCCAGGACTACACACAGAAACCCTGTCTCAAGAACCAAACAAAACCCAACAACAGGAAGATGGCCCTTTCTTTTGACACACAGATGATAGTCTACCTATCTCCCAGCCCACTTGCCCTCTTTCACAGTACACTCAATAAGATAAAGATAATAAATTAAAAAACAAAACAAAACAAAAAAAGACCAACAACAGCTGAACCAACTACCCAGCCTTTATTAATTACTACTTTGTGTGGACACTTCATTGTATGGCGGTCAGGTCAACTTTTGGTACTCAGGTTCTCTTTTTGTTTTGTTATTTTCAGATAGGGTTTCTCTGTTTAACAGCCCTGGTTTTCCTGGAATTGCTTTGTAGACCAGGTTAGTCAGGAATTCACAGAGATCCACCTGCCTCTGTCTTCCAAGTGCTGAGATTAAAGGCATGAGCCACCGCAGCCTGACTTTGTTTTTTTTTTATGAGGGAAGTCAGGTTAAGGGCTTTTTCTTTGCCATGGTGCCTCACCTGTTCCTCACTTTTCACAAACCCTCAAACAGTCTTAGATGGCACATACCCTCAAGCCTATGAAACTAACTACGCTGGCTTTGTAGTCAGAATAACTATGGTAATAAACACGGACAGCACTAAGAACTTAGCTGGGCCCGATGGCTCGCTCAGAAGACCAAGGATCAACTGTCCTTAGTCTGTTCAGTACCTACCAAGCTGGCCACAACTCGCCAAGCTTCCTAGTGTAAATGGGGGATGCAGACAAGGAAAAACAAACAAACAAACAAACAAACAAAACCTCTACATAGACACAGCTCTCAGAATCTATACTAGGGCAATATCCCTTCCTACACCAGTCCATAACCTATCATTCTGTTTCAGGTATAGGTTGATGTTCACAATTTTTGTTTTGTTGGTTGGTTTTGGTGTTTTCAAGAGAGGGTTTCTCTATGTAGCCCTGGCTCTCCCAGAACATACTCTGTAAAGTTTGAACTCAGAGATCCACCTGCCTCTGTCTCCTGAGTGCTGGGATTAAAGCTGTGTGCCACCACTTGACCAAAAAATAAAAAATAAAATAAAATAAAATAAAATCGAGACAAGCTCTCTTCTGTGCACCCCTAGTTGCCCTAGTTGCTGTAGGTAGCCCAGGCTGGCCTCAACTCAGAGATCTGCCTGCCCCTGTCTCCTGGGTGCAGGGATTAAAGGTGTGAACCCACCTAGCTGGTCCTCAGAAAGTCACAATCCTTGCACCCGATCATCTGGACCTAAGACACAGCAGAGGAGCTGGAGAGATGGCAAGCAGCAGCTCACAACCCCCTGTAGCCCCGGCCCAGGTGTATGTGATGCCTCTGGTTGCCAAATGAACCTGCACACACGTACATATTTAAACGTAATTATAAAATAAACCTCTAAGATTTTTTTTTAACGCTACAGAGCTCTTAATTATTAATTCTAAGGACTGTCCTGCATTCAATACCTCCCCAGAATATGCCAAAAACGCTAAAAAAAATTCAGTCCCTTTCTTGCTGTAATGATTGGGTTTTTTTTTTAAAGAGGTTCTTATACAGATAAACATCACGGGGGGAGGGGCACTAGGCAAACTGCGGGATAAAAATCTAAGCTTACAACCTCTTTTCAGGCATTGCTAGAGGCATCTGGTGGACATGGAAATAAACTGGAGTTTGTTCAAGAGATGCCAAGAGAAACAAGATTCCACACGTCAGGGCACTGAATGCTCAACATGGGGCAAAGGGCATGCACCTCCTTGCCTTCTGCCCAAATCCAGATTAGTTGCTTCACCTCAGAGCTTTTCAAAGGCAGTCTAATGGTCTCCAGTCCCTTCCTCATCCCGAGTGAACTCAATCCCTACCTGGAGACCAGGGGAAAGTCTTGCTTGATGAAAACCAGCAAGCGCTGCTGTCAGAACCAAGAGACACCTCTGTCCCCTGAGATAATCTTCCTCCCCACATTGGTCGTACAGACCTACAAGCCAGAACACTCGGTACCCAGCCTAACCATTTTCATAGTGGTGCTCCGTCCAATAAGCCCACCTCCATTCCCTCAATTCCCCCGCATTCGGGAAGCTTGTCAAAGTTCCCAAGGCCAGCCCTCTCTGCCCAGGACAGAAGTTCCCGCCCCGAGATGTCTCCTTTCCTCCACTTCCAGAAGACTTCTCCCAGGTCTTGGCACTCCAGGTTCTCCATTAGATCTCACTTCTCCCTGGCACAAGCCTTACCAGACTCAGCTGATTATCATTTGTGTTCAGTCCCCCACGCCCCAAGAGTTATGTTTTCCTTATCTCTCCTCAGATGGAGACACACACGATCTCTTCTCAGCTCCGAGACCTCTCCCGAGCCCAGAGTCCGACCTCAGCACCTAACACACTTCCCTCGAGTTTCCTCACAATCCCGTCATCTTCAGGCCCTTTACTTCACACCTGCTTAAAAGAAAAACACTTCCCAACTCTCATCTCCTCTGCTTTTTACTCCCAGAGCAGACCCTTTCCGTCCCAGATCGACTCCCTTGGCTTCAAGCCCACGACTTCTCCCCTCTCCCCCTGCTCGGCGGGCCCGGATTCTCCAGCCACCTCCTGGCCTGGGCCCGGCCCTGCCCTGCCCTGCCCTGCCAGCGAGCTCGGGTGATCCTTCCCTCGGGGCCGCGAGGCCGCCGCCAGTAGGGCTGGCTCCGCGCGAGGCCGGCTCACCAGTTGGTCATGTCCAGGAAGAAGGCGCAGCCGGCCGGGTTGAGCTGGAAGCCGAGTAGCCGCTGGAACTCCGAGATGAGCACGTCCTTATCTGTGGTGCCCAGGCAGCTGAACTTCTGCATGAGCTCGGGATCCAGGTCCACGTCCATGCCCTCCATGGCGGGGGGCCCGGACGCGCAGCTTCCTCCGCCCCGGACCGCTTCTCCACGGGCGGCCGCCGCGCCCGGGCCCGGGCCCCACGGAGGGCGGCCCGCTGCTGGCCGGCGCCGCGCGCGCTGCTCCGAGGCAGGCCCCAGGCCTCTCACCGCCTCATGGGCTGCGCGCGCCGCGCCGCGCCGCACCGCTCGCTCCCTCTCTTGGTAGCTTTCGGGCTCGTGCTCCCCCCCCCCCCCCCCCCCCCCCCCCCCGCGCCCGCCTCCGCCGCCGCCGCCGCCGCCGCCGCGGTTCGCAGCACCGCCGCCTCCGCCTCCTCCCGCGCCGCGCCCAATGCGCACGCGCGGGGCCGCCCGGGCCCCGCCCCTTCCTCTCCCGAAGACCCGCCTTCAGTGACGTCACAACTCGGTGACGTCCCTCGCGTGACCTCACCGCGGCGGAGCGGCGGAGCGGCGGGGCCCGGGAAGCGGGAAGCAGGAAAGGGCAGCCCTGGGCGGGTCTCTGGCTTCGCTCAGAGTCCCCACGCTGCGTGGGAGGAGTCGCGAGCTTCAGTTGCGTTTCTCTGAGAAGGCACCCCACCCCTGTTCTGATTGGAAACCAGAAGTCGCCTCAGGGACAGGGAACGAGGCAAGGTCAAAGTGCAGAGGGCACCAAAGAGCGGGCTCCTCACGTCTGAGACGACTCCTGCAAAAAGACACGTTCCCAAAGAGACGCAGCCGTGAACGCCTGGTTCCAGGCTTCTGACTTGAGTTTCTCATGACTGCTTTGGTTATTACGCAACCTTAGCATGGCGTTTCGCGAAGGGAAAGGCGGCCTCGAGCGAGCATCAGTCACAGGTCCTGATGAACACTGCCCTGGCTGCCAGAACCGATCCTCTGCAAAGGCAGGTCAACTCCCGAGAACTGAGCAAATCTCGTTCTGACTTTAAAATGCAAGACAAAACATGACTGTCCCGCGTGCGCTGTGTCCGCTGCTCTGAGGTCCCGTTTGAAGATGAAGGATTAGAAAGCTGTAGAGAGGCTCACCTGCCCATTCTTGTCACCAACTATTTTCTCAGTATCACCTGTTACCAGATACAACTAGGTTCGGAGATGGGGTCGGGGAAGAGATGACCGGCAACTGAGGACGTGGCTTAATAAACTTTCCCTGCAAGCATGAAGACCTGAGCTCCTGAGATCAGATACTCAGCTCTCGCGTCTAAGGCCTGCCATTCTCAACCACTGTTAATCCCAGCACTCGGGAGGCAAAGGCAGGCAGATCTCTGTGAGTTCGAGGCCAACCTACACAGTGAGTGCCAGGTCAGCCACGCTTGCATAATGAGATACTCAAAAAGAAAAGGCGTGGCCCTTGGGCATGCCAGGGAAAGGAGGCTCGCAAACAGCCTATCCAGATCACCGACTTCCCTAAGAAACTGTCTCAAACAATAAAGGGATTGAAGACAGTACACCTGACGGCCATCTCTGGCTTCCGTACGCTTGTACACACAAATAAATGAGCTTCTGCCAGTGGTTGGTAGCACTGGGTTAATACCAAGCTTGAGAGGAGAAGGCATGAGGATATTTTTCATCGGGGGAGGGGGCTGTAGAGACAGGGTTTTTGTGTAGCACTGGCCGCCTCTGCTCCCTGAGTGCTTGGATTAAAGGGTGCGTCACCACTGCCCATCTGAAGAGAAATATTTTCATGGCTAGAGTCTGTTGTATAGTGAATTATAAGGCAGCCCTGGGCTACATGAGATCTTTTTAGAAAGATGGGAGGGGGGTAGCCTTGGACCACGTACGTTGGGATTTGAATTTTCATTTATAACTTTGTCCTATAACAATAGGACACATCCAGTAAATTAATTTTTATAATGAAGTAACACTATAGGCTGGGGCATGCTTTTAATCCCAGCACTTGGGAGGCAGAGGCAGGCAGATCTCTGAGTTCCAGGCCAGCCTAGACTACAGAGTGAGTCCCAAGACAGAGCCAAGGCTACACAGTAAAACAACAACAAAAACCCAAAAACCCTTTCTCAAAAAATTTTTATATATGCAACATATATATGTATGGAGCTGCTAGGACAGCTGGGTCACCCATCTGATGGCCACAGCTCAGCATCTAGGAAGCCTTTTTAATTTTATTTTTCCCCATCCTGATAACTATAACAAAAACACAGATAAGGGGCCCGGAGAGATGCCTCATGGTTGAGGGCTCTTGCTGCTCTTGCACAGGACCCAGGTTTACTTCCCAGTACCCACATGAGCCAGCTCACAACTGCCTGTGGCTCTTATCTCCAGGGAATCCAACATCCTTTTCTAGACTCTTCAGGCCCCTACACACACACACACACAATAAAAATAAATCATATCAAAAACACGTACATAATTTTAAAATAATCTTTTAAACGCACCAAATTTTCTCATCTAACAAACTCCAAAGAAAAGAAAACCAAAATTTAAAAAAGGGCAAAAACTCCATGGTTCTCTGATTTATTATGGTATTTCCCTTCACTTTCTGTGACGTATATCCCAGTCTGCCCCACATCTGGCTTCCCGCTTTGTCTCCAGTCAAGGCGAAATGGGGAAGAGCAAAGTATGGGAGGGTGGGTTTAAGGAGCGTCTCCTCTGCCAGGTGTTGCTCACACATACTGACTCACTCAGTCCTTCCAGGCACATCAGTATTATTAACTGTTACCATTTTCAGATAGGGAAATGAAATCAGTGTTGTAAATACTTTGCTCAAAGAGGTACTCATTGAAAAACCCAAACAGGAGCTGAAGTTCAGGAAAAAAAAAAAATGTGTCCATCTCTCTGCTGGGATTAACAGGCCTGGATTACTGTACCCCTCTTCTAGGAAATTGTTTGTTTGGAGACAGGGTCTCTCGACATAGCCCTGGCTGTCCTGGAACTTACTCTATAGACCAGGCTGGCCTCACACTCACAGGGATCTGCCTGGTTTTACCTACTGATTTCTGGGATTGCAGGGATTTATCACGATGACTACTGAAAGCAGACTCATAAGATCCCTGTGTCCAGGAGCCCGCTGAAGTCAGCTTGTCTGGGGGGAGCTTAGGAATCGCCTGACGATTTGTGTTGTATTCAAGTTTGAAGAGCGGGACCTTACACAAGTGCAGTATTGCTGATAGTTTGCCCAAAGGTTCAACCTGATTAAAGATTAACAAACTCTATTTTTCCTGGCATGTTTGAATTGTATCTTTCTCAGAGAAAACAATTGTGAGGTCATGAAGAATAAAACTGAGGGTGATCGGAATGGAAATGTTTATTTCTAACATTGGCAGGGCATCAAGATCCTTCAAAAGAGTCTACTCCAGATTTTTTTGTTCCTTAGTCATGTTTTCTTAGGACATACAACTACCAAGTTAGCAGACAGAATGATGAGCTGGCATCATACCTGGCTTGTAATCTCAGCATTTAGGAGGCAGAGGATCAGGGTGTAAGGCCAGTCTTAACTACTTAGCAAGGTCAAAGTTAGCCTGGGCTACATGAGTCCTGGTCTCAAAAAAACCAGAAGAAAGCCAGTCAGTGGTGGCCTATGCCTTTGATCCCAGTACTTGTGAGGCAGAGGCAGGTGGATTTCTGAGTTCCAGTCCAGACTAGTCTACAGAGTGACTTCCAGGACAGCCAAGGCTGCACAGAGAAACCCTCCCAGAAACTAAACAAAAAAGCTGAAAGAGAGTCTCATAAGATGACACACCTGTAACCTCAACACTGGGGAGACAAAGGCTAGAGAATCAGGGATTGAAGGCTAGCCTCAGCTACACAGTAACTGTGAACCAGCCTGGGTGACATGAGACTCTTGTCACAAAACCAAAAGCATGTCATAAGAGACAGCACAGCTTACATTTGTTATCCCGGTGCTAGGGGACTGAGGTTCAAGTCTGGCTACACAGTGACTTTGAACGCTGTGTGAGCAGCATAAGACTTTATCTCAATAAATGGTAACAAGGGGCTGAGAAAACGAAAGCTCCAGGATCAGAGAGCGCCCCTCTGCCTCAGAGAATTAGAAGTGATAAAAAGAGCACCCTTGCCTCTTCTGTCTGCACATGCACACGCTCACTTGTATATATACACACACTCATGCACTCATACTGATACACACACACACACAAACATTTTTTCCTATGCTGTGTGGATACACGTGTGCGCCTGCGTGGTGCATGTGTGGATGTCAGAGGATGACTTCTGAGAGTTGGTTTTCCCCTCCCACTGTGGAATCTGAAGCTCAGGTTGTCAGGCTTATAACAACAAATGCTTTTACCCACTTTTATCTCACCGGACTGATTTAAATTAATCTTTAAATGGGAGAAATGAAGACATTTGAAAGGATGAATTACAAAATGTTAAACTCTTTTTAGGTGGTGAGGATACAGGGAGAAGATGCATGTCCACTTTTGATTTTTGAGGCAGGGTCTCTCTGTGCAGCCCTGGATAGCCTGCATCTCTTCACGGAGACCAAACTGGCTAAAAACTCACTGTGTATCCAAGGATGACCTTCAACTTTTGTCCTCCTTCCTCCTCTTCCCAAGTGCTGGAGTTATAGGCCTGAACCACACCTGGCGTATACGTATATCCTTTTTATTTAAGGTTCAATTCTCCCCATTTTTGAGAGTAAATATAGCACCCCCCCCATCTTTAGTTTTACAAGTTAGTATTATTTTTGTGTGTGGTAAGGTGGTCTGACCTCTCCAGGAAAGTCCCTGAGGTCAGAGAGCCACAGCTGGTTTTATCAAAGCTATGTGTACAACCCCTGCAGACATTGGGTTTCAAGAACACATTTTAGTTGTCACAGAGTTCCCCTGGGTTGTTTTTTTTTTTTTTTTCTCTATACGTTTGTTTACTCTGATCTCAAGATCTTTTGGATCACAAGCAAGTCAACAAAATGATCGAAAATGGAAAGGAAATACCAACAGCCTCAGATGTGGGCGAGCCTCCAGATGCTGAGTTAGGGAAGGCCCCAGTGTCTCTCTGTTCAATGTTCTTTCTAGATTGAGAAGTCTAGGTAGAAAATATTAAGTGACTCACTTCCATCCTTGTAGCCAGAGGAAGTCTGAATCTGAGGTTCTGACACTAGAGCATTGCCTTGTGAGAGCGTTGCCTCTCAAGAAAGTATTCTCAACCAAAGCAGACCCCTTTCAAGTCTACTTAGACTTACGTATGCTGCTTTCTTTAAATTTACTTTTTAAAATTATTGATTTGAATTTTACTTTAAAAAATTGTTTATGACC